GTTTTTCTACATTTTTTATATGTTTTTTAAACGTATTATTTCTGTATACTTTCCTTATACTGATTATTTATAGGGAATAAATCCTAATAAATCCTAATAAACTCTAACTAACCTTAACTAACCTAACTAATTCTAACGAACTCTAACAAATTCTAACAAATCCTAATAAATCCTAACTAACTCTAACTAACCTTAACGAACCTTAACAAATCCTAACAAATCCTGATAAACTCTAACAAATTTTAACAACTTTAACTAGGATTTGATTCAATCTGATGGATTTGAATTTGGATCCAGATTCGATCCGTTGGATTCAGATTTAGATTCAGATCTGATTTGTTGAATTTGAAATAAAAAATGCTACCCCGAAGTCAAACGTGACATTTATTATTAAAAAAATTTAATTTTTAATAATAAAATGGCACCTGAAAGTCAGACACAGCATTTATGATTAAAAAATTAATTTTTATTAATTTTTAACAACAAAATGCCATTTTGAAAGTCAGAGGCGACATTTCTTAATAAAAAATTAATAAAAATTAATTTTTAATAACAAAATGACATTCCGAAAGTCGGAGGCGGCATTTATTATAAAAAAAATTAATGTTTAATAATAAAATGCTGTCCCAAAAGTAGGATGCGACATTTATTAATAAAAAATTTGATTTTTATTAATTTTTTATATTAAAATGCCGCTCTGAAAGTCAGATGCAGCATTAATTATTAAAAAAATTAAATTTTATTAATAAAATGCTGCCCTGAAAGTCGGACGTGGTATTTATTAATAAAAAAATTAATTTTTTATATAAAAATGCTGCCCAAAAGACGGATGCTGCATTTATTAATAAAAAATTTAATTTTTATTAATTTTTTATATTAAAATGCTGCCCCGAAAGTCAGACGCAGCATTTATTAATAAAAAATTAATTTTTATTAATTTTTTATATTAAAATGCCGCCCCAAAAGTCAGACGCAGCATTTATTAATAAAAAAATTAATTTTTATTAATTATTTATATAAAAATGCTACCCTAAAAGACGGATGCTGCATTTATTAATAAAAAATTTGATTTTATTAATTTTTTATATTAAAATCCTGCCCTGAAAGTCAGATGCGGCATTTATTAATAAAAAATTAATTTTTATTAATTTATTATATTAAAATGCCGCCCCGAAAGTCAGATGTGACATTTATTAATAAAAAAATTAATAAAAATTAATTTTTTATATTAACATGCCGCCCTGAAAGTCGAACGTAGCATTTATTATTAAAAAAATTAAATTTTAATAATAAAATGCCACCCCAAAAGTCAAACGCAGCATTTATTAATAAAAAAATAATTTTTTTAATTATTTATATAAAAATGCTACGTCTGACTTTCAGGGCAGCATTTATTATTAAATAAATTAATGTTTAATAAAAAATTCTGTTCTGAAAGTCAGATGAGGCATTTATTAATAAAACAATTAATTTTTATTAATTAATTATATTAAAATGCCATCCTGAAAGTCAGACGTGACATTTATTATTAAATAAATTAATGTTGAATAAAAAAATGCCGATCTGAAAGTCAGACGTGACATTTATTATTAAATAAATTAATGTTTAATAAAAAATGCCAATCTGAATGGCGAAGGTTGATTTTTGTTAAAAAAAATTTTTTGATCCGTTGGATATGGATACGGATTCAGATTTGTCAGATTCAGATAACAATTTGGATTCGGATTTGTCAGATTCAGATTTAATTGGATTTGGATTTGTCGAATTCAGATTGAATCAGATTCAGATTTTTCAGATTTGGATTAAATCAGATTTTGCTCAAATCTGATCTGATCTGATCTGATCCATGCGGAACACTATCTTTAACAAACCTTAACAAACCCTAATAAACCCTAACTAATCTTTTTTTATTTTAATTTTGTAATTTCCAATTGATTATAACTAATAAAATATACTTACTTCCATTAATATAGACTAATTCTCAAATAAAAAAATATCATAACAAAATGATCGTGTTATTTGATCACATTGTTTTTGAAATATTTGTGGTGTAAGATATTCTCGCAATAGTTTATTTAACTTTGAAAAGTATTCTTCTATTATATTAGGCAATCCTCTTGTTAGTATTTCATTTTTACATTCACTAATAATTGATTTTTCTGATTGTTTATCAAAGGTTGATTGGATTTCTTTAATAATATCAATTAATTGGGAATTTTGATTAAGCTTATCTTTAATAATCTTATTAGAAACTTCAGCTCTTTGCATACTTTAGATTCTTACAGTAAAATATCTATTTATTACATAACTAATCCAACTTTTTTTACATTTATATAATGTATGCATAAGGTATTGTTCACAAGCAAGATATTCTTCAATAAGTTTAGCCTATTGGATTTCAAATTGCTTATGACATAAAAAATTATACATAATTAAAAACTTGGATTGAAATAGTTCAAATTAATTGCGTAATTTTTCTTTAAGCTTTTTTCTTAGATTTAATCCTATATGAAAAATGCAAAGAAAAAGACATATTTCTTTATAATTAATATGAATAGCTGATTTTAAAGTAGGATAGCATATAAATATATCACTGTTAATATAATTCCATAAGCTGATTTTAATTCATCTAATATCCAAACAAATGTTGCTTCAGTTTCATCTTCTAGAAGTGAGTTGCTATTATTAGATTTTTGAAATGATTATCAATAACTGTAACTATATCAAATTGATTAGTTTTGGATGTTGTAAATAACTACAATATCATGAAATCTTTCATAAGCTTGAATTTGATTCAGAGACATCTAAAATAAGGTAGTTAATCTTCTTTCAATAGAATTAAATTGTGGTTTTACTATTTATAATAGATCTTTATCTTTTTAAATACAAATCATTTAAGGTTTGACAGGCATCGTTTTTTCAAAGTAATATATCTTTCTTATACCGTTATATGGCATTGCTTAAATCTTTTTATTAATTTTTTTATCTGGAAATGATGCAACAAGCAGATTATATTGTGTTTTTGAATCTAATCTTCCATGAATTATCCAAAACTTAATTTATTTAAGTATTTTATTAGTTAGTCATCGAAATCTTGATGCAGATTTTCTAATAAAAGGATTCATAGGATGATTATGTTCACCTATAATATTATTGATTCAAACTTCAAATTCTGTTTTAAAAAATGACATATTAATATACTAAAGATAACAAATTATCTCTGAATCTCTATTTCTTTGATTTGTTATTAAAGCAACCTTTTTAGCTTCATGTTTTTGTATATGAGAACATTCAAAAGTATGATGATGTATTATAGAATTATTAACTGGATCACAAACACAACGTCTTTTACGAAAGTAAAATCCTTCTTGTTTTGCAAAATTTTCAAGATAAATTTTGGCTATTTTCCATGTATTGAACTTCATGTTTATAGATAATTTTGTTATTAAAATCTACATTTTCATTATCACTGGATTCAACTATTTCTTCATAAATATCTGAAATAGCTTCATCATCATATGGTTGAGATTTATAAACTTTTCAAATAAAAAATATTTCGAAAAGAAAAGTTTATATTAGTATCAGATTCCATTTTAAATGTCATATTAAAAAGAATCGAAAAAAAATCAGTTGCAAAAAAAAAGAAAAATCAAATTAAGAGAGAATAATAAACAAAATATCAATTTATTATATTATATTAATCACATGCATCATTGTTACGAGTAATATAACGAGTTAAAATTTATTATATTTAAATCCAAGTTAAAATTAATGATAATCATCTAGGATTAAAATTTTTGTCGATCACATAGAGTTAAAATTAGTTATATTTTTATAAATAATATATTTATTTATTATATATTAAAATTTTATTTAATTTGAATCATTAGATATTTGAAAAATATATTTAATATAAAATATTTATGTTATGCCATTTATATAAATTACTCAACTTTCACCGATTCAAATTAAATGATATTTTAATATATTATAGCTTAAGATAATATCAAGGTTATATAAAATTTGATCATTATATCATGAGAAATACGATGTCAAAATTAGTGTTGAGAGACTTTTTGCTGGGGTCTATAGAAGGCAATTTTCTTATATTTATTCTAAGATGGAACTAAAAATTGATGGAATTATATGTGATTAAAGAAGAGGTGTGATTATATAAGAAGTGACTATAGAGGGGGTTGACTGTATTATAAAGAGTAAAATGTGATATAATTAAGCATGTCCGCTATATTAGTGCGAATTATTAGGATTCTAAATGGAAAAAGACATTAACTTATGTTTACTGGACGCAATTTCTCTTGAGAATGTTTCTCTAGTCGAGAAGCTTTTAGAGCAAGGCGCAGACATATGGTTCAAAAACGAAAAGGTAATTATAAAAAATTGAATTTTAAAAAATTTATTATTTTTAATTTGTTCTCCTTATAATAATAGGGAATAAGTCCTTTGCATTTCGCGTGTTCAAATGGCAATTTAGAAATTGTTAAATTATTGCTTCAAAATGGTCACGCTTGGAATGTTGTTGACAATGAGGGAATCACGGCTGGAGAATACGCTAAACGTCAAAGTCATGATTTGGTTTATGAATTGCTTCTCGAAGAGGGATGTAGAGTTGAATTGATATTAGGTAAGTATTCATAGAATCTCATCTAAATGTAAATAAATTCAAAACGATAATTATTCATGAAAATAATATTTTGTATGAAGGATTACTTTGTTCAAAAACAAAAAAGAACGAAAAGGCATCAAATGTTGATTACTTATCACAACCTCTGAAATATTCGCAAGATGGTACTAAATTACTTGATTATGAAAACAATGGTGTTATGATGGGATGGGAGAAGCCTTTAATGGATAGACATGCGGAAATCATGTGTGTGAAGGAAGGTCTCGATATTTTGAACATCGGATTTGGTTTGGGACTAATTGACATCGCATTTCAACGATATAAGCCTCGCAGTCACACAATAATTGAAGCTCATCCAGATGTTTATAAATTCATGATGGATCAGGGTTGGAACGATAAAACAGGTGTAAAAATTATTCATGGACGATGGCAGGACGTGTTAGACCAACTTGATACTTATGATGTCATATTCTTCGATACTTTTGGAGAGTTTTATGAAGATTTACGTGAATTTCATAAAATACTGTCAAATATTCTCAAATCTGACGGAATATATTCATTTTTCAATGGACTAGGAGCCACCAACTCATTTTTTCATGATGTTTATTGTCGTATAGCAGAAATGCATTTGGCAAATTTTGGATTGCAAACGGAATATATAGAGATTCCAATTGATCTTTCTAATGATAAGATATGGGAAGGAGTTAAAAGACGCTATTGGACATTGGATACGTATAGATTACCGAAATGCCAATTCATGTTAGAATTATAAATATTGTTTTGCAACATTTAATGCAAATGCGTAAGAATATAAACGACTATCGATCCATAAATCTTCAGAATGCAATTGTTGCAACTCTAAAATATATAAAGAGGTGTGTTTTACGATTAATGGCGACGAGATAAAAAAAAAACAATATATAATATTTAATAAAAAAAATCGTTCTGACTTTGTAAAGTATCGTATAAGTCATCTAAAGGAATTTGAATCGTTTGTAAGCTCCATTCATCATCTTCCAATCTTTTTTTAGGATTGATATTTTCGATTGAAGTCGGATCAATCTTAAAGAATCAATTAATTAGTATAAAATATTAGTAGTATACATAGAAATGTTTATTTGTGATATACCTACCTCCATGTCAACAATTTTAGTCAACGAATCTGTCAACCCAGGTTCGTAACAAATAGGTTCTGATATTCCTATTATTTGACCATAATATCCAGTTTCTTCTTGAAGTTCACGAAGCGCTGCTGTTTCCGGTGTTTCATTTTCATCAATAAGACCTGATGGAAATTCTATACAATATCTTCCAATAGGTGGCCGAAACTGAATCACCAAAATAATTTGAGGTGGTTTATTCGCTTCCCGTATGATAGCATGTATGTCAACGGCTAAAATGAATGATCTTTGATAATAAATTTTAAAATATAGTATCTCGTTAAAATATTCTTTTATGAAACTTTACTTACCATCGATGCTTTTTTTATCTTTAGTTGCTGTAGAACCTTTCCTTTTACAAACTTCCCATTTTCTTGTTATTTTGGTGCTTGGATCGATGTATTCGATTTCTTGTAACTCTAACCAGTGACCATTACCCAGTTTTTTAGCATTATCATTATCTATTGACTTATCAATTTTATGAAATTTAATATCGTACTCCATTTCGATGATTTACTGTATTTGATAATATGCCATGAGTTTAAGCTCTAACCTTAACTCTAACCCTAACATCAATTATACCAGCCAATCAGAACCTGGGGGTAAATTAGAAGAATACAATATCCGGAAACTTTTTGAACGAATTTTTTTTTTATTCTTGTAAATGTTATTATTTTTATTTATTCCTAACAACTAAATTTATAATATTATGGCTGACCGAGGCTAGAGATAAAGATTTTAACGTTTTTGTCATCCGTTTTCCTGCTAAAAAGAGCTTAATTATTATTATTTTTTGTCCAAATTTTGGTCAAAATTTATATTATTAGATCACTTGGCTGATCTCAGTCATATGCACAAAATTTGCTTAACAATTAAAATTAGCAAAAATTTTGAATTTTTATACTTGGCATTATACATGAAGTCGAAATGAAAACCCAAAAAGTCGAAATGTTTCGACTTTGGAGGTCAAAGTCGAAATGGTCGAAATGACGTCATATCACATGATTTTTTATATATAGAAAAAACAAAAAAACAAAAGATGTACGATCTCGGTCAATATCGCACCGATTCGTATGAAACAAC